TGATCTCTTTAAGTCTGATCTCATGGACTTCTGGCTGCTTATCCCTATTCTCCTTGGCTTCCTTCCTTCCTGTCAGCCAGACCTCTAGATAACTATTTTGTTCTTCTGCCTCATTTACCCTGCCTATTATAATATCCAGTTTAGAGTACGTCTCATTCATAGCATTTTTAAGTTTGGCCAGATTAGATCTCATATCTGCCCTTATAGATTTTATATTGTCACTAATGCTTTTTGCAAGCCTAGCTATTGACTTCATAATTGCTACCCTGAAGTCTATCTCTAACATTTTGCTTATGTCCATATCCATTATATCTGTGGCAGAGACCATTGTCTCTGGTTCTTTTCTTTGTTGGGAGTTTTTCCTCCTAGTCATTGTTTTGAGGGATGGTTGAAGGAATGTACAGAGCCCAAAATATCAACCGTGACCCAAGCTAAATGCACCCTAGGAAAATATGGAGTGTTCAGAAGCCACCACCAAAAAAAAAAAAAAAAACAACAAACAAACAAAAAAAAACAAAACAAAACAAAAAAGAATAATGTTTATAAAATTTTAAAAAATTAAAAAGGGGGTGAGAGGAAGGGGGCATATAATCTCTCAGTGTGGACAAATTTGGATGTTTCAGTTTTTCCTGAGTATATTTTGGTCTGTTTGTTAGGGAACATTACTTCCTAAAATTATAAGTAAAATATAAAGTGTGTGTGTGTATGGACACATATATATCTGTATATATGTATATATGTGTGTTTATATGTATTTACATACATATATGTGTGTATGTGTATATATACATATACACATACATATATACATATATATGTATACATATATATAAATACTGAGTAGGGGAATAAAGGACTATAATGAAACATATATCTATAAACATATAGGTGTAAAAAAGTACAAGTTAAAAAGCTACTATGAAATCTAAGTTGATATCTTAAATATTGATATCTTAAATATCTAGTTTAAATAAGAACAAGGTAAAAAGAAAACAAAAAACAGAAGCAGCATAAGGGAAATAATAAAAAGTAAAAGAGAGTTGTATCTGAAAAATAAACAAGCTGTGAGGAAATGCCTGGAGCTCCATATACTATTTTACCCTGGTGTTGGGATTTTACAGTCTTATGGGGAACACAAAGTTGTGGTCCTCTTGTTCTTCCAGCCTGTTTTCTTAGGGAGGGTCCTACCGCAATGTTTCTCAGACAACCCTGCTTGGGCAGATTTGCACTGCTCCCTTTGGGGAAATGCTGGTCTCAGTGGAAACCCATTTTTTTGAGCTTTTGTTCTCTGGCAGCTTTCTGCACCTCTTCCAAGGGTCAGAGCAAAAATGGCCACACCCAAACATCTGTCCTAGAGCAGAGAATTTGATGTCTGCTCTCTTCACTAAACCCTCCAGAACACGGTTTCCGTTTCTGCTGTCTCTGATGGTGTGTGCCCACAGTGACTCTCTCAGAGGTCATTCCAGGTGCCCCAGCATGTCCCTGCCTTTTGTGCTTCTAAAACTGGGAGCAGCCATGCACACCCCACAGCTCCTGGATCATGTCTGGGTGCCACTCTAAAGCCCTTTCCTGGCTGCTACTGTTCTGTGAATTTTTTCCGTCCCTGGCACAGGAGGCTTTTGCACTCTGGTAGTATATAAATTTCCAGGAACCAGCTTATGGAGGCTCCCTCCCCCTTCTGTTTATCTTCTGATATCTTCCCGCAGATTCACAACTCTGCCCTTTCTACCTGGTGACAGGCAGTGTTTTTCTGCTTGTAGAGACCCAGATATATATTCTTATAACTCAGGCTTATTTTGTAGGTGTTCAGAATGATTTGTTAGATATCTAGCTAAATACAGGAGACTGGTTGAAATGCAGTCCCCTATTCCTCTGCCATCTTGCCTCTCCTGAGATTAATATTTTTAATTATTATTTTTATGGCTGTCATATGCATTTACCATAATGTTTTATTTTTTAAATTTTTCTCTTTTAATGATAAAATGAATACATGGCCTTAATAACCATTTAAACACATACCAAAGTCTAATAAAGTTTAACATTATTTTCCCTTCTCTGTCACTCCTATGCTCTGTGAGATAATCGGTATAATTGTGATATGCCTATTTCCATACTTATGTTCATATAAGCATATATACAGATAAGGCTTTTTAAAAACTTTTTTACTTACAAAATTATACCAAACATATTACTCTGTAACTTGTTTTTTTTTAACTTAATTTATCACAAGTAACTCTCTAGATGAGGAATAGAGAATCTAACTATAATTCCTTCTATCAATCAGGGTTCAACCAGAGAAGCATAACTCATAGACAATGTATTATTAAGAGATTTATTCTAGGAATTGGCTGATGTGATTACAAAACCTGGCTAAGCAACTCCAATGTCTATGGAGCAGACAGTCAACTGCAAGATCAAGGGCAGGCTCAAACTCATGGGCATAGTCCAAAGCTGTCATCTATAGAGGATCATGAGAAGGTTGAGACTCTGCATACATGGGCTTAAGCTGAGAGAGAATTTCTTCTCCTTTGTGGGGAGACCTCTACCCTGTTTTCTTATGTGATAAAAACACTGTGAACTCTATACTTTTAACACATTTTTAAGTGCATAATATAGTAATATTAATCATAGGCTCAGTGTTATACAGCAGATCTACAGAACTTATTCATACGTTGTATAAATGGAACTAGAGAGTTTTGATAGGATTGCTTTGAATTTGTAGATGAACTTCACCAGAATGGATATTTTAACAATACTAAGTCTTCCAGTACAAAAACAAAGAAGCAAAACAAAACAAAACAAAACAAAAACAACAAAAAACTAAAGACCAGTATCACCAATGAACACACATGAAACTATCTTTGATAAGACAGCAACAGGGGCGCCTGGGTGGCTCAGCGGGTTAAGGCCTCTGCCTTTGGCTCAGGTCATGATCCCAGCATCCTGGGATCAAGCCCCACATCGGGCTCTCCACACAGCTGGGAGCCTGCTTCCCTTCCTCTCTCTCTGCCTTCCTCTCTGCCTACTTGTGATCTCTGTCAAATAAATAAATAAAATATTTAAAAAAAAACAGCAACAAACAGAATTCAGCAGCACCATGAAAGATCATACACCATGACCAAGTCATATTTGTCCCTGGGATGCAATGATGGCTTAACATGCAAATCTATTAATGTGATATAATTAAATGAAAGACAGAAATCACATCATCATATCTATAAATGCAGAAAAAAGGATTTGACACAATTTACCATTTTTTCCTGATAAAAACTCACATCAAACTCTGTATAGAAGGAATTTACCTGGACATAATAAAGGCTATCTATGAAAAGGCCTACAGCTAACATCATACTCATGGGGGAATAACTAAAAGCTTTTTCTCATAGATCAATGACAAGAAAAGGATGCCCATTTTCACCACTTCTATTCAACATAATAGTGGAAGTCCTAGCGAGAGAAAATTAGGCAAGAAAAAAAAAATAAAAGGCATCCAAATGGGAAAGGAAGAAGTAAAATTATTTCTGTTTGTAGATGCCATTATTTTATATATAGAAAATCTTAAAGACTCCACAGGAGAAAAAAAAAAAGCTTTTCTATCTAATAAATGAATTCAGTAGAGTTGAAGGGTACAAAATCAACATATAAAAATCAGTTGTGTTTCTATAAACTAACAATGAACTATCTGAAAAAGAAATGAAGCAAACAGTCCCAATTATAATCACATCAAAATGGATGTGATTATACTTAGGAATAAACCAAGGAGGTGAGAGACCATACACCAAAAACTATAAAATCTTGCTGAAAGAAATTAAAGAACACATAAATAAACAGACAATATTGTTAAGATGTCCATTTTACCCAATGTTAGCTATAGATTTAATGTGAACTTATCAAAATTCTAATGGTATTTTTTACCAAAATAGAATTAGCAATCCTAAAATTCATGTGGAACCACAAAAGACCCATCATAGCTAAAGATATTTGAGAGAGGAGAACAAAGCTGAAGGTATCATGTGAAAATATATTACAAATCTACATGAATTAAAACACTATGGTACTGGCAAAAATACAGGATATAGGCCAATGGAATAAGATAGAGAGCTTTGAAATAAACCCACACATATACAGTTAATGTATTTTTTGCAATAGTACCACGAATACACAATTGGGAAAGGAGTTTTCTTCAATAAATGGTGCTGGGAAAACTGGACATCCACATGCAAAAAAATGAAATTGAATTCCTACATTATATCATACATGAAAATTAACTCAAAATGTTTCAAAGACATGATTGTATGACCCAAAACTGTGAAACTCCTAGAAGAAAACATAGGGAAAGAGCTTCTTGGCATTGATCTTGGAAATGATTTTTTTGGATATGATACCAGAAGCACAGTCAACAAAACAAAACTACAGAAAAATAAAATGCTTTTGCACAGCAAAGGAACAGAATGAAAAGGCAACCTATGGCATACGAAATATTTGCAAATTATATATTTGATAGAAGGTTAATTTCCAAAATATATAAGGAACTCTTACAACTCAATAGCAGAATATCAAATAACTTAATTTTAAAAATGGACAAAGGACTTAAATAGACATTTCTGTTCCTTCATTACTTTTTGCTATTGATTTTTTCTTCCTTTTGAGACTTAAAAAAATCTCTTATTGTAATCTCTTACCTTTTGACTCATTATTTCCTTGTCTGTGTTTTTGCTTGTGGTTGAGAAATAGTTTTCCACTTCACACCACACTTTATTCATCCATTCTTCATTTAGCAACTTCTTAACTCATGTTCTCATTTTTTTTGCCTTTGTTTACTATGAAATGCATTGCTATAGCTAAATATTTGTTCAAGTGCTCACCATTTATTTATTTATTTGCTTTTCAAGACTTTTGCTATATCCTGCCAAAATTACTCTTTCAGAAAAGTTGTACTAATTTTACATTTAAGAAAGGTCTATGTTTTTATAACAGAATCATGTATTTTTATGTTATAGGCTTTGAAATTTCTGAAAACCAGAAGAGGCAGGCTGCAATGACTGTGAGAAAAGTCCCTAAACAAAAAGGTAAAGCTGCCTATAACCACCACCACCCCAGCAGCCCCACTTACTCTCTTGGTGAGACTGGGAAGCCATAAACTATGTGATTTGCATATCTGTAGGTTTGTTTCCAGGCAGACGTTCACTTAGTGTGTTGGTGAGTGTTTGGGTTTCCAGGTGTCCCTGATGAGAGGTGGCAAATGGTCTTAAAGACATAAGGCTTAGAAGTAAATACTGTAAGGTAGTTAGGTCCAAAGATAGTTCTTTGGGTACAGGAAAAAATAGAATTTCTATTTCTTTTCCTTTTTACATAAGTAAAAGAGAGAGAAAAACTAAACTTTATTCACAATTTAGAGACAGACCATAATTGTAAATTTTATTAATAAGTATATTTGGAATATGTATATGATTTTCTTTCATTTTCTTGTGGGCATTTTCAAGATTAGGAGTCTCAAATCAGAATGGAGAACTTCATACTGAACCAAGACAGAAGATTCAGATATTCATTTTCTTTCTCTGAACCATAAACTAAAGTACTTTAAAAAGGAAGTACTCCACCTGGGAGGCTCAGTCTGTTGATTGTCTTACTCTTGATTTTGGCTCAGGTCATGATTCTCAGGTCTTAAGATCGAGACCCACATTGGGCTCCATACTGGGTTTGGAGCCTGCTTGAAATACTCTGTCCCTCTCTCTCTGACCCTCCCTTCCCACCCTACCCCCATGTGCCCCCACACTAGCGCTCTCTCTCTCTAAAAAAAAAAAAAAAAGGAAAATACCTTAATACCTTAAGAATCAATTTTATTATCAAATGAAGCTTTATTTTCTCATTTTTATGAACTAGACATAATTAAAATGCTTAGTTGAACAAAAGAAAGTAATTCATGAAGCCTCTTCAGTACCAGTCATTTTATTTTATGTAAGTTCTTTAATTTTATCTTTATGCTACTTCTGAAAAGGAAGACATTATTAGCCTCATTTTCAGATGACAAAACAAGATCTTTGGGGTGAAGTGATTGTGAACTTAACTCATCTTGATTTTAAGTCCACTGTTCTTACCTCACTATCTCAGGGTTCTGCAGGCTCTCTGTGCTGGGAAAGAACAGCTCACTTTTTTGTCTCACCTCAATTACTGACAGTTGCTTCTGTTACTGACCATCACTGTCATTTTCCCCATGTGTAGGTGATCTTAATGAGACCTCACTTTCCCCAGGCCCTTCCTCTGCTTTCTCAGTAGTCTCTTTAGTTCAGAATGAGTCACCATACAAAATGATTAGATTCAAGTTGCCTGAAATTCCAGTGACCACATAAAGCACCCTTAATTATTCCCAAATGAAGCTCCTTTCCACCAAGGAAGCTGTGTGCCTGTGAATATCTGATCTCCAATTAAACAGTGCACCTAGCTGGGGCCCCTCTGGCTAGACATGTCTTCATTTTAACTGTTTATTGTTTCTTGCCCTTGGGAGGCACTCACCAGCTCTTTCTCTCATTATGGAAATGTGATTATCTTTAGACAGGGAATTAAAGGCAATCACTCCTAACCTCCTGGGAATTAAAACATGAGAAATAGTGTTGGAAAGCTATCTGGAGTTAATGTCAGTGGAGATATGATCTGGATGACTAGGGCAGCCCTATGAGAGACTGTGCTCCTTCCTTAGACATAGATATAAGCAGAACAGAATCCCAGCCAGTTGGGGAATCCTCAAGCTATAAAGAGGCTACTGTCCTAATGGCTTCCTGTTTCCTGGAGGCTCTTAAACCTTGAGCTTCTCTTACTCTGATCCCCTCCACCGTCCTCACCACACTGACATTCATGATGTGATGGGACCCATTTACCTCAATTCAGATTCCCTCAAGCCTATCTGAGGCTGGCTGTTTGTGTGTGTGTGTGTGTGTGTGTGTGTGTTGTGTTTTTTGTTGTTTATTTTTTTGTTTGTTTGCTTTCACTATGAACTCTTAAAGCACAAGAACAACCATAAAACAACAAATCAGAAAATAATCTAGCTCACTCATACCAAGCTTTTGTGTCAGGTTCCTTTTCCACCTGTCTAGTCACAAGGCTATTCCTTTCAGGTCCTCTCTTACTCCCCAGTATCTAAACATTGGTTCACATGGGCAACTTTCCATCTTAAACGATTCTAAAGTTTTCAAACTCATTTATTTTCAAACCTTGCAAAATTCCTACAAATCTCCTTCTTTATTTCTATTTCTAGTTTTCAAGACTCTCCTAGTCCAGGACTATAATGACTGATATATTTTGAGACTCAAGGAATTCATGTGGAAACAATTGTCAAACCTAGGAATTCAATAGTTTTGTAGTGTTCTCTTCTGACCTCATCTATAATGCCATGGGTCCTTATCAACTCCTCTGGAGGAGGGGAAGTCTATCTGTAAGATAAGCAAAGAGGACAAAGCCTAGCTCCAAGAAAGGCATTTTTACTTTATGTTTACCTTTTATACTGTCTTAGTTTTAAGAACTGATGTATAACATATTGGAATTTTAATACTAATTCCTAGTCTATCAACCCATTTCAGTCTGTCATCATGAAACTACATAGGGCCATGAGCAAAGATCCCACCTCCAGAGGCTATAGGACCATCTCAAAAATCAAATGAACATTCTAAAGTAACTAAAATAATCTTGAAAAAGAAGAGTAAAGTTGGGGTGCTCAGTCTATACTGATTTTGACACAAATTATATGGGTACAATAACCAAGACAGTGTGGTATTGGGAGAAGGATAGACATATTGTATTAGTGGAAGAGAACAGAGAAACCAGAAATATACCTATACAAATATACCCAAGTAATTTTTGATAAAGATGCAGAAGAAATTTAGTGGAGGAAGGGTAGTCTTTTTAACAGATGCTGCCTCAGCCATAGATCAAAAATAAACTTCAACCTAACCTCATACCTTACAAAAATGAACTCAAAATACATAATGGGTTTAAATTTAAAGCTACAAAACTTTTTTTTAAGGAGAAAATCTTCATCTAGGGCTAGACAAAGAAGTTCTTAGACTTCATAACAAAAGCTTGAACCATGAAATGAAAAATTGATAAAATGGACCTCATCAAAATAGACATTTTTCCTCTATGAAAGATCACATGAAGAGGAGGAAAAGACAAGTTATAGGCTAGGAAAAATATTTGCAAACCATGTATCTGAGAAAAACACTATTATCTAGAATATATAAAAAACTATCAAAACTCAGCAGTAAAAAAAAAAAATACACACTCCAATTAGAAAATGGGCAAAAGATGGATATTTTACTGTAGAGGATTATATGGATGACAGTTAAGCACATGAAAAGGTGTTCAACACTATTATTCATTGGAGAAATGCAAATGAAAACCACAATGAGATGCCACTATATACCTCTTAAAAGGGCTAAAATAAAAAATAGTGACAACACGAGAAGTTTTAGAGAAGTTTTAGAGTTTAGCAAAGTTTTAGAGAAGCTCAATCATTTATACCCTGCTGGTGAGAATCCTAAATGGTACAGCCACTCTGGAAAATAGTAAGATGGTTTCTTAAGACACAAAACATACCACTACCATATAACCCAGAAAGTATACCTGGGTAGTTGTCCCAGAGAAATGAAAAATTACTTTTACAAAAAAATAAAAAACAAAAAACCCTAAAATGTTAAATAATTTGAATTTAAATAAAATCTTGGAGGAAAAAAAAAACTCTAAACAAATGTTTATAGCAGCTTTTTTCATGATAGCCCAATGTGGAAAGATCCCAGATGTCTTTCAGTGCGTGAGTAATTATGGAATATCCATACCATGGAGTATTACTCATGAATAAAAATGAGCCAGCTATTGGTACATGCAACGACTTGGGTGAATATCCAAAGAATTATGCTGAGTGAGAAAAGCCAATCCCCAAAAGTCTCATATGGTATGACTCCATTTATATAACATTCTTGAAACATTGTCATTTACTAATGGGGAACAGATTAGTGATTGCCAATGGTTAAGGGGGAGTGGAGAGGTCAGGAGAGAAGTAAGTGTGGTTATGGAAGAGTAACTAGTGATTTCCTGATACAGAAATGTCCTATCTCTTTTCTGTGTCCTGTAACAATGTTAATATCCTAGTTGTAATATTGTACTACAGTTTTGCAAAATGTTATCATGGAAGAAATTGAGCAAAGGCTACAAAGCATATCTCTGTATTGTTTCTTACAACTGCATGTAAACCTGCAATACTTTCAAAATAAAAAGCTTAATTGAGAAATTAAAATGTACACTTCCCAGACTTTCTCCCTAGTATTCTCATATCATTTGTTGGCACCCAGTACACTCATATTTCTGACACTCACCACCTTTGAAAATTGCCTGTTAGAGGACATTATCAAAATGGCAGAATAATTTTCTTCTGTCTTCCCCCTAAAAAAAAATTATTTTGACAGTCACCCACAGATGAGTGTGCTTTTGTGAAAGTTCAGAAGTCCAGCAGAAAAGTTCCAGACTACCCGTGGAGGAAAAAAAAAAAAAAAACAACACGCAAACAACCTTGATTAGATGCATAGAAAAAGAGGTCAGTCAATAAAGACTAGAGGAAGTGAATGCTTTTTCAAATGCAAAGACAGCAACCCAAGACTACAAGGAACATGAAAAATTAAGGAAACTTGATATTACCAAAGGAACGCATTTTTTTATAAACGAACCCCCCAAAGATATGGAGATATGCAATTTTTTCCAGTAAACATTTCAAAATAGTTTTTTAAAGGAAGTTCAGTGTGCTACAAGAAAGCATAGAGAGACAATTCAACAAATTCAGGAAAACAGTACACAAAACAAGAAATTTAACAGAGACTAAAAATCACAAGAACCAAACAGAAATTATAGAGCTGAAGAATACAATGAATGAAATGGGGGGCGGGAATGTAATAGAGAACATCAACGACAGACTCAAACAAGCAGAAGAAAGAATTTCTGGAGTCAAAGATAGGTCATTTGAAATTGTCCAGAGTAGAACAAAGAAAAAAGAATTTTAAAAAGTGAAAAAAGCTGATGTGAGTTA